GAAGAAGGGTCTAAGCCCGAAACGTCAGCCTTCCTGCTCCTCTGATGCTGCTTGGCCTGCTGTGTTCATCCAGCTCTACACCTTGGTATCTCAGATTCTCCAGCATCTGCAGTTCCTACTATCTGTTTGTTACAAATTTGGTTCTACTGTAGAATCAGTGATTGCAGTCACTCAATAAACTACCTGAACATTTTGCTATGTTTAAAAAATGTGGAGCTGGAAAAGCACAGCAGGTCAGACAGCATCCAAGGAGCAGGAAGGTCAATACTTCGGGTTGGGACCCTTCTTCAGGGCTGGGAAGGGGGAAGAAAGCCCAGAAATAAAGAGGGAGGGACGGTGGGGCTGAGATCATGGCTGATCTGTGTTTCTGTGCCGTCTGCCCACCATTGTACTGTATCTATCTCATCAGACTGCCCGATTTCAAAGGTGAATTTGATCACATGATGGAGCTCATTAAGAAATACAAGGCAATTCTTACATTCAACTTATTATTAAAATATAGAAAACATATTATCCATGTATTGGAAACAGGCAAGGAGTAGGAAGTTGTGGTCATTTCACTGAAACTGCATTTCTCATGGAAACTGATGAAAATGTTAGCGGGAGCACAGCCTAGGGGATATCTAATGAGAACACTATCAATTTGACCATACATGTTGTTGTTAAAGCTGGCTCAACTGCATGAGTTGCTAAATTCATAAATTCAATGAATCCAGATTCAGACATTGACGGAGCGTTAAGATTGCCATGGTGGAGTAATAGGCTGTGAATGTCCAGGACTTATTTAAGAGGTACATTAGTGAATAGACTAGCAAAGTCGAATGAGCACGTAGAAATGGCATTCCAATAATGTGCGATTCCTATATGATCTTATGATGCTGAAGGAAGCTTTCGCTGCATGTATGGAGAACTCACTCAGAACTGGCTGTAACCACTTGTTCAACCATTTGGCCACTTCATTTTGTGCAAAACCTGTCATTGGTAAAATAGGACACAAAGAGACATCACTTTTGAGTGACCTGGATCGCCAGTACATACATGGATTCACTGAATCATAAGGGGAAGACAGAAGGTTTTAAATCTTGTCTCTATTTTCAGTGAGTATGAAATTGTGTTTATTTGTATGCAGGTGAGGGTACTAATTGGATATTTATTTTGTACTCCTATAAATAGACACAGATGCAAACTATGGTTGCTGGGATAGGAGATTCATGCTTACAACGTTAAGTCTATATAAATAAGTTTTAAAATTGTGTAAATATTGGCTCCAGTTCCATCCTTCACCAGCTGGCTTTCTGAACTAGAACAGTTAATGTGGCAGGATTAACTAAAACAATAATATAGGAGATACTAGGGATATGATAAGAATGAAAAAGAATCAGAAAGTGCATTGAATAAACACTAACCTTTGCATTCCAGGTGTGGTCCTTCCCATTGTCCTTGGATGGAGCAGACAGATGTGACATTACCTTTCACATGCAAATAGCCAACCTCGCACTGGTACATGACTGTACTTCCAAATGTTGTGTTACTTGGTAGATACTGGACAGTATTCTGTAAGACTGGAGGAGGTCCACACTCAACAGCTGAGGAGATCCAAAACACAATGGATCTGTATATCAGAGTCAGCTCCAGGTAGCTTAAGTATATTAATATTCACAATACTTCCTTTTCCTTACTGGGAACAAATGTATGCATTCCTCTAATTTACCAAAGATTTCTTATTAAGATAAACCAGTTCCAATGCATCTTTAAACAGCTGTTTTCACCAAACTAGCTTTTTTTTTTTAGTTTCACCAAGTAGACAGAATAACGACAATTAATAGAAAACAAGGATCCCCAATCCTCAATCTCTGGGGCCTGAAGCAATTCCACTATTTGAGATTTTTTTTTAAAAAATTCATTCGCAGGATAAGGGCATCGCATTTATTGCCTGTGCCTAATTGCCCAGAGGGCAGTTAAGAGTTATCACATTGCTGTGGGTCTGGAGTCACATGTAGGCCAAATCAGGTAAGGATGGCAGTTTCCTTCCCTAAAGTATATTCATGAACCAGATGGGTTTTTCCTGACAATCAGCAATGAACTCATAGTCATTGTCAGATTCTTAATTCCAAATACTTTTATTGAATTCAAATTCCACCATCTGCTGTGTTGGGGTTTGAACTCAGGTCCCCAGAACATTGCCTGGGTTTCTAGATTAACAGTCCAGCGATACCACCACCAGTCTGGTGCTTCCCCATGTTTTACATGCAGCAGAAAAATATTATTTATTCCAAGCACATTGTAACAACAGAAGCCTGCTTAAGGTTTTTGGGGGGATTTTTAAAGGTTTTTGATAACTTTTGTTCTTCTAGCTCAAGTGGATGGTTAAGGAAAAGCCACAAGATATTATTATTAATTACGAGTACACTGATAGAGCAGGAACTGGTGCAAACAAGTTATGGGCAATGACACTGGGTAGGCACTGTATGTATTTCAATGCATTTTTCATCATGTCCGTTCTGCTGAATTTAACTACCTGATGCTCTGTATTACAATAGATGAAAGTTTGAAGCTGATTAAAAACAAATTATCCTGTTGCACAGATTGCAGAGAGTATTTCAATGCTCCCCATGTCATCGATCAATTTGATCCCTTAAGTAAGTTCTACTGCTTCTTCACACAGGTGGTAGTGGAAATCTGGAAAGGACAGGGGACACATGGGAACACCCCTGCTTGCTAATTCCCCTCCAAGTCAGCTACACACCATTTTGAGTTAGAACTATAGCACCATCCCTTGACTGTCAGTGAAAATCCTGGAACTCCCTTCTGGATCCCAAACATGTGGAATTCACATGCAACCGGTATCACAGATCAAAAGGGGATTTCGAGATGCTTGGAATCTGAATAATATGGACATTACTAATACTAGCAAATGGAAGGGAATAAAGGATCGGATGCTTTATTAAAGCTAGATTCAGACTTAGCTTATTGATAAAAACAATAAAATATCATCTATCGTAGCCGGGTATACTGGTACTTATGAACAATCCTAGGGCGTTTGCTTTTAAAGTACACATTCATCTTGTGACAATGAGTCGAGTTCTCCCAGCCTTCATTAGTAATTCTCACACAAGCAGCAGATTCAATTGTCCAGCTCCCCCTATTCCCTGTGCGTGCCAGAAATCCGGGAGATTACTGCTTTACAATGGGTTTACTGAAGCCTAACAGATTTCAGCAGTTCAAAAAAAATCCATCAGCCCAATTTAGGATTGGCAATAAATGCTAGCCTAGCCAGAAATGCACATATCTTGTGAATAAATAAAAAAGAACTTCTTTTTGTAAGGTAATTGGGTTTAGCCAATATTTATAGTCTTAAACAAAAACAAATTGCTGAGAAAACTCAGCAGACCTGGCACCATCTGTGGAGAGAAAGCAGAGTTAACGTTTCAGGTCCAGTGACCCTTCTTCAGAATACTGAATTATAGCATTAGATTCGCATAGAAATATTCTGAAGCACCCACCTTCACATTCCAGGTTTACTCCTTCCCACTGTCCCTGTGCGGAGCAGACTGATGTGTCATTTCCTCTCACAGGGACATAGCCAATCTGGCACTGGTATGTGACTGCACTTCCATAGGTTGTGTTGATTGGTTGACTGGACATCATGTTTAATAAAGTTGGTGGTAATCCACAGTTAACAGCTGAGAAGATATAGGAAGATATGAGTTAAGACCATTTAGTGGTTGTAAAACAAAGTTATTGTAAGAGTTCAGACCTATGATTTTCCAGATCTGTGCAGCTTTCTGTTAAATCACATGATTCATGTGCCCTCTGACCTATTGTGGAAAGTGCTATCAGCTCTTCAATTTCCTGATAATAAACTTTGCATTCTCCAAATGATATCTGTTCAATTGCTACTCGAGGGAAGATGACGTGATGACCCATGCACTCTATACATTGTACAGACCTATTTGGGGTGTTTGTGTCTCTACTAGCCAATTTCGACAAGAGGAGAATGCAATCAACATTAAATATTTTGAATAATATCATGGTATTAGGTAATGGTTCTGAAAGGGTTAATATTGGAGATAACAAGGTGTAGAGCTGGATGAACACAGCAGGCCAAGCAGCATCAGAGGAGCAGGAAAGCTCACATTTCGGGTTTGGACCCTTCTTCAGAAATGGGGGAGGCAAAGGGGATTCTTAAATAAATAGAGAGAGAGAGGGAAGCGGATGGAAGATGGATAAAAGGAGGAGATAGGTGGAGAGGAGCCGGACAGGTCAAGGAGGCAGGGATGGAGCCAGTAAAGGTGAGTGTAGGTGGGGAGTTAGGGTGCGGGTTGGTCAGTCAAGGGAAGACTGACAGGTCAAGGAGGCGGGGATGAGGCTAGTAGGTAGGAGGTGGCGGTGGGGGTTTAGGTGAGAGGAGTGGATAGGCAGGAGAAAGGATGGACAGGTTAGGGAGGCGGGGACAAGCTGGGCTGGTTTGGGATGCGGTCGGGGGCGGATGCACCCTAACTCCCCACCTACACTCACCTTTACTGGCTCCATCCCTGCCTCTTTGACCTGTCTGTCTCCTCTCCACCTATCTGCTCCTTTATCCATCTTCCCTCTGCCTCCCCCTATTTATTTCAGAATCCCTTTTCCCTCCCCCATTTCTGAAGATGGGTCCAGACCCAAAATTTCAGCTTTCCTGCTCCTCTGATGCTGCTAGGCCTGCAGTGTTCATCCAGCTCTACACCTTGTTATCTCAGATTCTCCAGCATCAGCAGTTCCTGCCATCTCTGAATCAGTTAATATTGGAAGCTGTATTAGCCTCCATCCAACCTGATGCTGTTATCCAGGAAAATTGAGGAGCGTAGCTCCAGATTCTGAGAAGGTTAGATGTGTCACCTCTGATTTTTGATTGCCTTGACAAGGATCAAAGGCAATAGTTTTTAGTTGGAAGAGGTTTCCATTTATCCAATACTAAACGTTTAGAGGTCTTGTAGCAGAATGGGTAGAACCCATGTCTCTGAGTCAGAGTCCTGCTCCAAGACTTGATGGCCATGGAGGCTGTTGTTCATAATATAGTAAAGAGGTCAATTGTCAACCTATAAGTTCTTCCAAACTATCTGTGGAAGGCAATAACAGCAGAAGGATCTCGTGACAAGCCATGCTTGATGCAAAACAGCATGCCTCAAGCCACAGCCTCTGGTTACAGGCTGGAGACCTGTTCCAGAAAAAGCTAGAAACAGATATGAGCTTTGCTTGTCTCATGCGTCACTAAATTTTTTATCTTTAACTACTGGGTGACAGACAATGCATTGATCAAAAATGGACACAAAACATTCAAGATTATTTCTACACAGATAGAATTCCAATGCAGAGAAGTTATGATAAACTTATACAGAATTTTGGTTAACTCCCCTTGGATTATTAAAGAGTGTTCTGGTATCTGTTATGAAACAGTTAATGCTGGGGACTGCATTATGATCCATCAGATCGGATGATGTCTTATACGCACGGGTGGGATTAAGGCAGAAATATCTGAGGATCTCATACAAGTACAACCCTATATCTACAAGTCTCCCCATAGTCTTAATAACTGTGCCTAACAAACTGATGTAACTTAATCTATTTGCTCGCTATCACGCCAACAACTAGATCTTAAGACAAGAGTGTCTACTTGTTAAATGTAGAAAATCAGAGCAGAAAAAGGCCATTCAGTTCTTCAAGTCTGCTGCACCATTCAAATGATCATGGTTGATCACCCGCTACCTGTTTTCTCCCACACTCTACGATACCTTTAGCCTTAAGAGCTAAATCTAACCCCTTCTTCAAAACAACATTTTGGCCTCAAATGCTTCCCGTGGCACAGAATTCCACAGGCTCACCATTCTCAGTGAATAAATATATCCTTATCTTCGTCATAAATGGCCTACCCTGAATGCTTAAACTGTGACCCTTAGTTCTGGATTCCCTCGTCATTGGGAACATCTTTCTTGTATTTACCCTACCCAGCCCTTTTAGAATTTTGTAGATTTCTATGTGATACCACCGTTCCCCCTATCATTCTTCTAAACTCCAAACTCCGGCGAATATAGTCCGAGCCGATCCAGTCTCTTCAAATGCCAGTTCAACCATCCTAGGAATCAGTCTGGCGAAACAAAAACAGAAATTGCTGGAAAAAACTCAGCAGGTCTGGCAGCTTCAGTGGAGAGAAAGTGGAGTTAACATTTTAGGTTCAGTGACCCTTCTTCAGAACACAAATCACTCGAAACGTGAACTCTGCTTAACAGATGCTGCCAGACCTGCTGAGATTTGCCAGAAAATTCATTGGTTTCAAATTTCCAGCATCCACGGTTCTTTGTTTTTTGATCAGTCTGATAAACCTTTGATGCCCCTTACATAGGCAGAACATCCTTCCTCATATAAGGAGGCCATAACTGCACACAGTACTCCAGGTGAGATCTCACCAAGATCCTGTACAAGTGCATCCCTGCTCCTGTATTTGAATTCTTTCTTTGTGAAGGCCAACATACCATGTAGCCTTCTTTACCCGCATGCTTACTTTCAGTGACTGGTGGACAAGGACATAGAGGTCTCATTGCACCTGCCACTTGCCCAAACTATCATCTTTCGGATAATGATCTGTTTTCCTGTTCTTGCAGACAAAGTGGAAGGAAGGGGGACAAAGCTTTTAGAAACAATTACTTGGGACATAATAAGTTATCACATGGAACAAGGTGGTTTGATGTGGAAAAGCCAGCGTGGATTTCTAGCGGGGAAATCATGTTTAACTAACTTGCTGCAGTTTTTTTTAATGCAGGCAGAATGTGCAAACTCCACACAGATAGTCACCCAAGTTGGAATTGAACCCAGGTCCCTGGTGCTGTCAGGTAGCAGTGCTCACCACTGAGCTATTATGCTACTTGTTTTTCAACATTATACAGTGTACGGTCTGGGGTTAGCAATTTATCAGAAAAATGGGAACTTGCCAAGCAGAATTTGTGTGGCATTTCCCATAGTTCTCACGGATTATGCACATGCATCAGGGGTTTGTGCATTCTCCCTGTGTCTGTGTTGGTTTCCGGTGGTTTCCTCCCACAGTCCAAAGATGTGCAGGTTAGATGGATTGGCCATGCTAAATTGCCCTATAATTTCCAGGGATGTGCAGGCTAGGTGGATTAGCCATGGGAAATGCGGGGTTGCAGGGATAGGGTGAGGGTTCTGAGTTTGGGTGGGATGCTCTTCAGAGGGTCGGTGCAGACTTGATGGGCCGAATGGCCTCTTCCTGCACTGTAAGAATTCTATGATCATTAGGGAGGTGGCAGAAAGTGAAATGCTAAATCAGCTTCACAAAGATTAACGGACAGAAAACCTTAACAATCATTTAGTTTCTGTATTCTGCGGAAGGGACCATGCCAGTTCAAGATGTTCATATGAACTCTGAAGGTTTGTGCAATGCAAGCAACACTGGTAATCATGTTCTTTTGTTTCCCAACTCCAGTTGCATTCAGGACATTAAGAACCAGGTAGAATGGAACTGGAATCACACAAGGCAGATCATCAGGTTTCTAACTGTTTGCAGTAGTGGTTAAAGGAGAAATCTTGGCCAACCCACTGGGAGGAACTGGGTGCTTTGTTTTTGAATAGTATCAGGATATTTTCAAACGGACACAGTGTTAGATTAATGCTCCTACTGAAGGATACCATCTCCAAAAATATAGCTCTCCATCAGGCAATGTATTCAAGTCTACAGGGGAAACTTCAGAAGAGGGAGTGCCACCAATAGAGATGTGCAGATTTTGGACATGAGGCATAGAATAATTCAACACAACAGCAGGCCACTTGGCACATTGTGCAGCTTACACTGGCTCTTTGAAAAAATGTCCAAAAAATCTCATTCTACACTCATTCCCCATTCTTACAAATTTGCCCCTTCCTGGTATTTAACTGACTGTTTTTGATTGGGGGTCAATTAGCTCAGTTGGCTGGTTTACAATGTAGAGTAATGGCAACAGCACAAGTTCAGTTGTCACACTGGCTGAGATCACCTTTTGACAACTCCAGTTTCTAAGGGCTCTCTAAGCAACTTAAGCCTTTCTTCCCCGATATTGTTCTAATACATCTCCTCTGCATTCTCTCCAACATTTTGACATCCTTCCTGAAATGTGATGCCAAGAATTAACCCCAGTATTTGCCAACCAAAGCCTAATCTGCAATTTAAAATAGTTTGGCATAATCTCTGCTTTTATACTCCCTGCCTTTAATTATAAAGGCAAGGATCCTGTATGCCTTTTTAACAACCTTTTCAACTTGTCTTACCACCTTCAAAAATTTGTGAAATACATTCTGAAATATGTTTTGAAAGTACATTGCTGGATCTTTCTGTTTCTCAACCCTCTCTATCACTGGGCCGTTTCATTTAAATTCCCTCTTCTTTCATCCAAATGAGAAATTGTCATGTTAATAATCAAACAATCAATCAATTAACTAATGACCAATTTCCTGCACACAAACTGATCACTTGCCTTTTTTCAAATGAGTTACAATGGCCTCTCAATCGGCATTTGTCTGCTTACCAACAAACTCTGTTCCCAACTCTCTCCAACACAGTAACGAACAAAGACATTGAGGGCTGTCTCATGCACTTCAGTATGATTTATGACGGTCGACAAGTGTTTTACCTGAAGATTAACTTTCTCACTGTTTATTCAAGCACAATAATGATTTAATGATCAGTTGTTCATCAGAGATTGATCAACTGGGTGTTGGTTTATTTAAAATAGTAAAAATTTATGTTAAAACATTAAAGCAAACTGACTGCTTTAATTCAGATGTCTATGTGCAGCTTGCAAATTCAAAACAGGCCTAACTGCCAGACAGAGTCACAATCCTAAACACAGATCATATGGAATCCTGAAGGGTGAATTCTCTTAAAGGCACGGTACACATACAACAGAATTAATGTCGGATAACCAGGTATAGAGCTGGATGAACACAGCAGGCCAAGCAGCATCAGAGGAGCAAGAAAGCTGAAGAAGGGTCCAGACCCGAAACGTCAGCTTTCCTGCTCAGCCTGCTGTGTTCATCTACACCTTGTTATCTCAGATTCTCCAGCATCAGCAGTTCCCACTATGTCAGAATTAATGTAGGGTTTTTTGGAGGTTGGACATAATAGGGGAGAGAATTAAATGAGAGAAAAGTCTCAAACAGTCGTTAATGAAATATTTTTGTCTTTTTTTTTTTTAAAACTTGCAAGCTTTCTAGAGCACATACCTTCACATTCCAAATTCGCTCCTTCCCACAGACCCTAAGCAGAACAAACTGAAGTGTAGTTTCCTCTCATATAGACATAGCCAACCTGACACTGATACTTGACAGTATTTCCAAAAGTTGTATTGACCGGTGGGTATAACAGTGTGTTTGGTAAATCTGGTGGTGATCCACAGTCAACAACTGAGGCGGCACAAATTATGGACAAAATTAAAATTAAATACATTTTTGGTCATATCTTTGCACTGAAGTTTATAACATACCCAACTGCATTGTAATTCATCATGTAGGAGATGTATACAATGGAGCACATTTTCATCTTCACCACATGACTGACACAGCAGTGCATAACTGATGTAAGTATTGCCTTCCTGCTCTCTCAGTTGAATATTAAAGATATCGCTGCTATATTTAAAGAAGGACAATGGAGTTTTCTCCAGTGTTGAAAAGGTCATATTGCAAAATCCATTGGCCATCATGGTTTATATTGTGCTCATGTTCACTGGAACCAGCTAAGATGCTTTGTGCAGATTCCCTGTCACTAAAACTTATTGATAATAGTCTAAGTTACTGTTAGCAAGTTGGCAAGGATTCCCACATGGGTTTTCAGAAGTTGGGCTCAATCTTGATAAACAGTAAATTTTTATTACGTAATACTTAATGGATAGTTACATTACATCTGAGATACATGATAATCTTTTGTGAGACTATTAGACTCAATTTAAAAGTAAATACACATTACTATTAGTGACAGTGATCTTAGCACTTATGACTGTTACTGCTATACTAGTTAGACACCAGTTAAACACCAGTAAGACACCGGTTAGTTCCTCCTAGGTTCAATCCTTTTTAATCGTGATGGACAAAGCTTATCTGGTGATGTCACTGGTCACCAGGACTTAACTCCTGGGTGAACTCCCCAAAGGTCAAACAGTGTTATCATTACAGAAGACATGTCAGATATAATATACATAGCGAAACCAATAAATAATCTCAAAAATTAGGAGCTATTGGAAATATTACAGGAAAAAATGCTGTTTTCAGAAAGGAAAGAAACATTTGCATTTATATAGTGCATTTCGCATACTCAGCTTGTTCCAAACGCTTTATAGCCAACTGCGTAACGTAGTCACAATTGCAACGTAGGAAATGAAGTAGCCATTTTGCACACAGCATGCTCCCATAAAAGCAATGTAATAATTAGCATATATTCTGTTCCTGCCATTCTGCTCAAGGGATAAATGTTGGCCAGGGCAGAAATGGAACTTCCCCAGCTCATCTTCAGTTTGTGCCTGGATCATTTGCAACTAGCCAAGGAGACGTTTGACATCTTGATGGAAGACACTTTCTCTGACAGTGCAGCACTCCCTTTACACTATCCAGGAGTGCCCACATTGATTTTGACGCAAATCTCTGGAGTTGGATTTGAACCCCCAACTTTCTGATGTGATTGACATGGGCACATGTTGAGAGGTGATGGGGACAGATTTTAGAAAGACAGCTAGAAGGATAAAAGATTCTCCTGAGAAATGGAAAATGGTATGGAGAATTGAAGAGAGAGACGCACAAGGCAGAATGAATTGAACGAGAAGAAAATTGCACAATAGTCTGTCCTTAGTTCAACCACCAAAAATAATGATGGGAAAAGATTGCCGATCAGGATTTGAGTTAATGCATTTGCAACTTGCCCGTGAGCATGACTTTGCAGATCCTTTAACACCTCTGAAGTTTCAAAATAAATTACTTTCAATTTAATTTCCCCAGGTTCATTTCTTTTTACCTTGCTTGACTTTGCCTAATCTAAGGAGCATTATTAATAATGCCCTCCATCTTGCACATATTTCAATGACAATGCATACTTATACATTCCATGCTACCCTTATGATCAGTGCATAGCATGAGGAGAAATCTTCAGGCATTCCTTATAATCTTATATTTCACAGAGGATCTCGATACAATTTGTTTTAATGCGACTGACGGTCAGATTGCCTGGCAGCTCACAGGGATTAATTAGCTGACACTGATAAGCTGACCCTGCCATCCACCAGGATTTGAACTACAACCTAAACATTCAGGTCCTGGTGTCATTTTAACTGAGGTTTGGAAACATTCTGAAGCACTGACCTTTACATTCCAGCTTTGCTCCTTCCCACTGCCCCTGTGCAGAGCAGATTAACGTATCATTTTCTCTAACAGGGACGTAGCCATCCTGGCACCGGTATTTAACTGTACTTCCATAGGTTGTGTTGTGTGGTGGATATGACACAGTGTTTGGTAAAGTTGGTGGTGATCCACAGTCAACAGCTGAAAAGAGACAAAAGATACGGCTAAGTACATTTAACTACATTGAAATAAAAGTCAATGTTGGGCCTCAAAGCTGAGATCTTCCTATTCTGTATGACTTACTGACATGTTACAAGATTCATTTGCTAACTGATTATCAAACTTGTCATGATCTAGCACTTTTAACATAGTGAAACATCTCAAGATGCCACAGGAATAACAAAATGTGACACTGATGCACAGAAGGAGACTTTTGAGGATAAATAGTTGCATGGACAAATTAGGAGAAATAACGGCATCATGGTAACGTCATTGGACTAGTAATCCAGAATCCCAGGCTATTATTTTGGTGACATGGTTTCAATACCCACCATAGCAGATGGTGAAGTCTGAATTCAATAAACACTAGAATTAAAAGGTGGTCAAAAGGCAGCGATGTGTCTATTGCTGTAAAAACTAATCTAGTTTGCTATTCCTCAACAGAAGGAAGTCTACCGTCCTGATCTAGTTTGACATTCATGTGACTCCAGCCACACACTGCTGTAGCTACACTTTGAAATGTCCCAACGAGACACACAGCTGTGTCAAACCACTACTAAGTCTAGATAAAGGAATGAAACTGGACGTACCGTTCAGCATCTAGTATCAGAAATGACAACAAAAGCGACAGCCATGTCAATCTTACAAAAGCCTCCTTACCAACATTTGGAGGTTTGTGCCAAAAGTGGGAGATCTGTCTCACAAATTAGTCAAGCAACAGCCTGACATAGCCAGACTCTCAAGCTCATAACTTACAATGTTCCAGATGCCACTATCAGCATCCTTAGATATGTCCTGTCTGCCAGAGGTGATGGCACAGTGATATACCATTGGGAGAAAGATACCCTGCCCACCATCAGTATTGACTTTGAACCTCATGAACCAGGTCAAAAACGGGCAAGGAAACCTTCCTCTGATTACGATTTACCACCTGCACAACTCCTGCCTTAGTTAATGAATCAGTACTCCTTCACCTTGAGCACCACTCGGAAGAAGCAGGAAGCATTGACGATGGAAAGGACGCAGATTGCCCTCTGCCAAAGGAGCTTCAACATCCATCACTAATAGCACCACTACTGACAGAGCTGGTGAAATCCAAAAGAATGTAACTGCTAGCTCGGGTCTGCAGCAGGGGGTAAGGAATAAAACTGAGGGAAAAATCTCATCCTCACCAGCCAAATATAGGAAGGCATACCAGGAACATCATCAGACACCTAAAAATGAGGGGTCAACCTGGTGAAGCAACAATACAGAAGTATTTGCATACTTAACAGCACAGAAGCGGCATGCACAGGGCTAAGTGATTCCACAACCAACAGATCAGATCGGAGTTTTAACCTCTGTTATCCTGCTAGTTTTGAAGAGTAGTGGGCAATTTAACAATTAACAGGTTGTGGACGCTCCGCAAATATCCAATCTTCAACAAAGGGGGAGCCCAGCACATCAGTGCAAAAGACGAGGCTAAAATACTTGCAGCCAGAAGTGCCAAATGGATGATACTAAAATTTTTAAAATTGCAAAATAGGCTTTGATTGGAAAATACTGGGGCTAATTCTTGGCATCACATTTCAGGAAGGATGTCAAAATGTTGGAGAGAATGCAGAGGAGATTTATTAGAACAATATCAGGGAAGAAAGGCTTAAGTTGCTTAGAGAGCCCTTAGAAACTGGAGTTGTCAAAAGGTTAAGAATAGATTTGTTCAAAAGTTTGGAGAGCTTAAATAATTCTAATGCTAACTTTGCAACAACCCGTGGTAGTTGCTTGGTCACCAAAACAAACACTAGTTAGCTTAAGTCTTTGGATTACAAGGCTTGTGAGTGCAAGATAGGCTTTTCAGTGGCAGAAGGATTAGTAAACAAGGAGAACAGCTTTAATTTTTTTTAAATGGAATCCATACAGAGTGGAAGCAGGCCATTTGGCCCATCAAGTCCACTGACCCTTGGAAGAGCACCCCATCATACCCACCCCCTACTCCTGGACACTGTGGGGTAATTTAGCATGGCCAATCCAACTAACCCGCACACCTTTGGACCGCATATGGAAGCCGGAGCACCTGGAGGAAGACCATACAGACCTGGGGAGAATGTGCAAACTCCACACAGACAGTCACCAGAGGCTGGAATTGAACCTGGGTCCGTAGTGCTGTTAGGCAGCAGTGCTAACCACTAAGCCACCGTGCCACCCCTTGTTAATTAGCAACAAAACCAGAAGTGACATGAAGAAAACCATTTTACGCAGTGAATTGTGAATTATAATGTAGAATGCACTGACTGAAAGGAATAATAAAAATAGATACAATCAAAACTTTAAAAAGTAAGAGTTAAGTTGCTGTAAGTCTGTCAGATCATAGGGCTGCTCTCTCATTATAGAGAGATGACTGGTGGTGATTTAACCTGAGGGTAAGGGTTTGGGTTCTGCCAGGGCCTATCAGCTCCTGATGTCATTACATCCTTGGTTTAAACATGGACAAAGAGTTGAATTCCAGATGTGAGGCAAAAGTGACTTTCCTTAACATCAAGGCAGCATTTGACGGAATCAAAGAATCCTAGCAAAACTGGATTTGATTAGAATCAATCTCTCCACTGGTTAGGATCATACCTGGCAGAGAGAAAGATGGTTCAGGTTGTTGGATGTCAACATCAGCTCCAGACATCTCTGCAGGAGTTCCTCGGGGTAGTAGCCTAGGTCTCACCATCTTCAATTGCTTCATCAATGATCTTCCCTCCATCATAAGGTCAGACATAAGAAGGTTTGATTTTCCAATATTCAGTAATATTTCCAACTCCTCAGATATTTAAGCAGTCTATGTCCATATGCGACAAGACTTCAACGATATCCAGGCTTGGGTTAACAAGCAGCAAATAACCTTCATGCTACACAACCATCAGACAATGATCATTTCCAACAAGAGAGAATCTAGACATTGACACTCAAGATTCAATTGCATCATCACTGAATCCCCCACTATCAACATACTAGGGATTACCATTGACGAGAAACTAAACTGCACCAGCCACTGGAAAATACTGTGACTCCAATAAAAGGTCAAAGGCTGGGACATCTGTGTTGAGTAATTCATCTCCTGTCTCCCAAAAGCTTGTCCACCATTAACAAGGCACAAGTTAAGAATATGAAAGAATACTTTCCATTTGCCTGGATGAGTGAAGCTCCAACAGTACTGAAGAAACTTGACACCATCTAGGGCAAAGCAATGCGCTTGAATGACACCCTATCCACCACCTTATATATCCTCTCACTGCACCATCAATACAGAGCAACAGCAACAGACAACATATACAAGAACACTGCAATACCTCATCTATAAGACCATAGGAAATAGGAAATAGGATCAGCAGTGGGCTGTTTGGCCTTTCGAGCCTGCCTCACTGATCAATAGGATCACAGATGAACCAACATTCCTCATGTCTACTTCCTTACATTTTCCCCATTACCCTAGATTCCATGACTGATCAAAATTCTATCTATTTCAGCTTTAAATATACACAAGGACTCTATTCCTACAGCTCTTTATGGTAAGGAGTTCCAAAGACTCACAACCCTCTGAAAGAAGGAATTCCTCTTCATCTCAGTCTTAAACTGGCACTCCTATATTCTGAGACGATGCCGTCTGGTCCAAGACTCTCCACTAAGGGGAAACGTCCTCTCAGCATTTACCCTGTCAAGCTCCTTAAGAATCCTATATGTTTAAAAGAGATCATAGAGTCATAAATTTGTAGAGTCACAGGGCATGGAAACAGATCCTTTGGCCCAACTCATTTGCACAGACATCCTAATCTGACCTAATCACATTTGCCAAGATTTGGCCCACATCTGTCTAAAACTTTCTTAAATCATATAGCCATCCAGATGCCTTTTAAATGTTGTAATTGTATAATCACCTCTAATTCTAAACACCAGTGAGTAGAGTCCAAACTTGTTTAACCTTTGCTCATAAGGCAATCCCTCCACACCTAGGTTCCTTTCATAGTAGAAACCATGGAATTGGAAGATACTACCTAGAAAGTCGAGAACAATAAATGCAGGTATACAGCAGCATCTGCAAATTCCCCTCTAAGCCAAACAGCACCCTGACTTGTAGCTATATCACTGCTCCTTCAATAATGCTAGGTCAATATCCTTGAATTCATGTGCTAACAGCCTGTAAATGTACATCACACGGATGGCAGAGGGTGAAAAAAGTGGCCATCACCACCTTCTCCAGGCAATAAGAAATGGGCAATAATTGCTGGGCTAGCCAATGCTGCCCAAATCCCATAAACAAATTTTAAAAGTAGATCATTAAGGAGAGACTACGTGGATTTTTTCACAGAAAATTATGTTTAACAAACTTACTGAAGTTTAATAATGAGATAGCAGAAAGGTTTGGTCAGGGCAACTGCAGATGAGATATATTTGGACTTCCAAAAGACATTTGGATACAGTGCCACAAAACAAGCTTGCAAGCAGAACTATGGTTCAAGGAATAAAGAGGAAAGCAGCAATATGAAGCAGAATTACCCGAGCAGTTAATGGATGTTTTTCAAGCTGGGAAATGTTTGTAGTGGAGTTCTCCTACGGTAGTGATAAAAATTGGGGATGCATAAGAAGCCAGAATTAGAGGAATTCTGAGACCTTGGAAAGTTGAAGGTTGGAGGAGATCACAGAGATAGAGATGAGCAAGGCAGTGGAAGATTATGAAAATAAGGATGAGAGTTTTAAAATCACGATATTGCATGATGGTGTGGTGACTCAGAATTGCCCGAGTAATCTGAAACAGAGAATAATGTTTAATAGATACTTTTTGAGTTGAAGGAATGTCTGTAGTGGATTTTCCAAGGGAACAGAGCTGGGTTCCTTTTCTGTTATGATATAAATTATTCACCAGGATTTTGACATACAAGGCACAGTTTGAAAGTTTGCGGATAATACAAAACCTGGGGAACCGAGGAGGCTAGCATAGAGCTTCTAAAAATGTAGACACATTGATGGAACGAGTGAACACATCAGGTGAAGTTCAATGCAGGGAAATGTGAAGAGGTTAATTTTGGTGGGAAGAACATGGAGCAACAATATAAAATTATAAGCACAACTCTAAAGGGATGCAGCAGCAGGAAGATATTAACACCCTGGTGTTAATGTGCATAAGTCAAGTAAAGGTGGCAGGGCAGGTTGAGAAAGTGGTTAATAGAACATATCGTACCGAGGTTAATAGAGACATGGAGCACAAGGGCAGAAAGACTATGTTGAGCTTGAATAAGACACTAGTTTGGCCTCAGCTGGAGGTTTGCATCAGATCTGGGGATGCACTATAAGAAGGATGTGAAGGCAATAGAGACATTATAGGCAAGGTTCAAGACAATGGTTCCAGGAATGAGAAATTTCAGTTATAAGGGTAGATGATAGAGTTAGGATTGTTCTCCTTGTGAGGAGATTTAGCAAAGGAACTCAAAATCACGATGGATCCAGACGGAGAACATGGGGAGAATTTTTCCCACGTCCACACTAACTGGACACAGATATAAAGTAATTGGTAAAAACAAGCAAAGGAAACAAGGCAAAATATTTTCATGTAATGAGTGGTTAAGGTCTGGAATGAGCTACCTGAAAGTGTAGTGAAAATGGGTTCAATTGAAGCATTTAAAAAGGGAATTAGACTATTATTTAAAAACAAAGACCATACAAGTTTACTGGAGAAGACAGGAGAACAACACTAAGTGAACTGTTCATTCGAACAGTGGCCGAGGCGTGATGGGCCAAAAGAAACCCTTCTGTGCTGAAACAGGATATTGGTGGGGCCTCTTCTGGAGCACTATGTCCAGCTCTGGTCTCCCTCTTACAGGAAGGATATTATTGAGCTGGAGAGGATTCAGGAGAGTTTTACCAGGTGAATGCCAGGTGTCTTTTCCCTATGGTGGGGATTTCAAGACTGGGGGGGACATTTTTTAAGGTGAGAGGAGAAGATTTAAATAAGACACAAGGGGCAATTTTCTTTGTACAGAGTGGTTCCAGAGAAAGTGGTGGTTGCGAATACAGTTACAACGTTTAAAAGACATTTAGATAAGTACATGAACAAGAAATGTTTGGAGGGATACGGGCCAAGTTCAGGCAGGTGGGACTAGTTTAGTTTGGGATTATAGTCAGTATGGACGGAAGGGTCCGTTTCCATGCTGTATGACTCTATGACTCTATGACATTAGGTGAGATGACCAAAAGCTTGGGCAAAGAGGTAGATTTTAAGGAGCATCTTAAAAGATACAAGTGAAATAAAGGGATGAAACGGTTTAGGGAAGGAATTCCAGAGTCTGGGGCTGAGATAGCTGAAGGTGCAGCCATCCATGATAGAGTGATGTACATTGGAAATACACAAGAGGCCAGAATTCAAGGAGATCTCAGATCTTGGAAGGTTCAGGGTTAGGAGGACATCACAAAGACAGAGACGAGCAAGACTACAGAGAATTTTCAAAATAGGGATAGAGTTTTAGAATCAAAATATTGCTTGACTGGGTGCTGATGTAAATGAGCAAGGACAGGGACCCAGAGTGAGTTAAGGCACAGGCAGCACAGTTTTGGATGACCTCAGGTTTATGGAAGATAGAAAGAGGGTGGTTGGCAGTATAATAGAATAGTTTATTTTAGAGGTAACAAATGCAGGACTGAAGACTTTAGCAGCAGGTGAATTGAGAAAGGGCACAGTTGGGTAAAGTTACAGAACTGGAAGTAGTTGAGCTGGGTGATGGATATGCAGTTGGAATTAAGCTCATCTTGGGATCAAATACAATACCAAGATTGCAGACAGGCTGGTTAGTCTTAGACTATTGCCAGGAAAAGGAAGAGATTCAGGAGCTAGGCAATGGAATTTGTCATGAGGATCAAAAATGCCTAAACACCTTCAATCTTCCCAATACTTAATTGGAGGAAATTTCTGTTCCTGCAGTGACAGATTTTGGACAAACAGTCCCATAATTTATTAATGTGGAAGAGTTGAGTGGGATGGAGGTGAAGCAGAGTAACACTTTGTAAGCATATATGCATAGAATAGTACTATTTTCAGATGTTATTGCTGTGGGAAATCATATAGATATGAACTAGCAGAGAGTTAAGATAGATCCTTGAGACACATCAGAGGTAATAGTAGGGAGGGTGGGGGATATGTAATTGAAGGTCATTCTCTCAATTTGCTTCGATAGATTAGGTAATAAGGGATGGGGAGCAAATGCTGGCTTAGCCAGTGACACCCACATTCTGCCGAAGAAAAATAAAAAAAAAAAAAAGCTAAGAATGGAGACCAGGGAGTACAGTCTCACAGGTGGACAATAACTGAGAGGTAATGGAGAAGGACTGTGTGGTCAGCCATGATAAAGAGAATGCATTACAATAACAATTTCATTTTTGTATCTTTCATGCTGTGACACTTATTGACAAACATCTGCACAGTATTTATGTGTTGCTACAACAACTGGAAGGCAATTATGAATACAGAGTCACTCTAGCATTGTCATTTACATAGAATCACAGTTTGACTTAGGTTATGAAACATTCTGGAGACTGACCTTCACATTCCAGGTTTGCTCCTTCCCACTGCCCCTGGGCAGAGCAGACTGATGTGTCATTTCCTGTTATAAGGACATAGCCAACCTGGCACTGGTACACAACTGTACTTCCATAGGTTGTGCTAACTGGTTGATACAGTGTGTTCAGTAGCGATGGTGGTGATCCACAATTGACAACTGCAAAGAGTCAAACACAAGTTAGTTTATAGTTTTGTACATTGTGTATATTATACACTCAAAACATGATTTCCATGCAATATTTTCCAAGATAAGTCTATATAACACCAGCAATGGGTCACATGTTAGAATGGATGGCAAATTCACTGCAGTCAGTTTCTGGTTCAAAATAACCTTAGCTCACCAGAGGTTAGAGAGGCAAGCCTCACTGAAAACTTGCCCTTGGACCTGATTGTAATAATGCAATTAAACTGCAGGGGCTACTCAGATACTTAGGACCTGCTTACCAGGAGAGGTTTTCTGGCAGGGAGTTAAGGAGGGTTAATAATACAAGGAATCATAGAATTATAGAACCATACAGTCACAGAATTCCTACAGTGTGGAAATAAGCCATTTGGCCCATTGAACATCCCACCCAGACCCAACACGCCCAAACCCTACCTCCCCATAACTCCACATTTCCCATGGCTAGTCTACCTAGCCTACACATTCCAAATCACTACAGGGCAGTTTAGCACGGCCAGTCTACCTAACCTGCACACCCTTGAATTGTGGGAGGAAACCTGAGCACACCTGAAGGAAACCCACAAAGAAATGGGGAGTCTGTGCAAACTCCACAGAATCATCCAAAGGCTGGAATAGTAGCCAGGTCCCCAGTGCTGTGAGGCAGCAATGTTAACCACTGTGCCACCATGTTGCCCTTTAGGAGGGGTGAATTGGAATGAAGGAGGGGGCTCCAGTCGTGAACAATTCAATTTCTGTAATTCTTCTCTCACCCTTATCCACATCCTCCCAGAACAACGGTATGGCTTCTCTTGTCCTTAATTTCCACCCCTCCAGTATCTGCATTCAAAGGATCATCCTCCTGCATTTACATCGTCTTTAGCAGGATACCACCATCAAACACATCTTCCCCTCCAACCCCCACTGTCAGAATCCCACAAGGATAGTTCCCTGTGCAACACACTGGTCCAATCCTCTATCACCCGTAATGCTTCCTCACCACCCCCTCCATGGCATCTTTACATGCATTCGCAAAAGGTGCAACACTTGCTTTTTTACCTCCTCCCTCCTCTAGTCTAAGGTATTCACACCCATCATTCGTACCTACTTCTCTGTATTCCTCTTCTCTACCACCACTAACAATCCCTTTGTCTTTAGTGGTGGGCTCCCTCATCATTTGTTCCACTTGATCCTCCTCTGTCTACAGCTTACAATCCATCATTTTCCAGCTACTTGCCGTTCTGAAGAAGAGTCATACCGGACTTGAAATGTTTCCCTCTCCACAGTTGTTGCCAGACCTGCTGGGTTTCTCTGAGATTTTCTGTTTTTATTTCAGATTTTTAGTATCCATGGTATTCTTGTCTTATGTGCATTCTTCAATATCTCCCCTCCCAACTCTACTGCTTTTAACCACTCCCACCCTCCTCCATAAACCACTCGGACATACTGCTCTCTCAAGTTTCCAATGCCACCTTACAACAACCACACCACTGTTCTAATGAATGCTTTTTGCATTCTGTACAGTGCAAATTAAACCTCTTTTATTTTTAATCCGCTCATGGGATGTGGGCATCTCTGGCTGGGCCAGCATTTATTGCCCAATCCTAATTGCCCATCTCAGTGGACAGTTAAGAGTCAACCACATTGCTGTGGGTCTGGAGTCACATGTAAGTCAGAAGAGGTCAGGATATCAGATTTCCTTCCCTAAAGGAACCAAATGGGTTTTTCCGACAATTGACAATAGATTCGCGGGCACCATTAGACTCTTAATTCAAATTCTACTATCTGGCAGGGTAGCATTTGAACCCAGGGCAGTGCATTGAATATAGGAGTTGGGAGGTCATGTTGCAGCTGTACAGGACATTGGTTAGGCCACTTTTGGAATACTGTGTTCAGTTCTGGTCTTCTTGCTACAGCAAAGATGTTGTGAAACTTGAAAGGGTTCAGAAAAGATTTACAAGGATGTTGCCAGGGTTTGAGGGTTTAAGCTATAGGGAGAGGCTGAATCGGCTGGGATTATTTTCCCTGGAGCGACAGAGGCTGAGGGGTGACCTTATAGAGGTTTATAAAAATCATAAGGGGCATGGAGAGGGTGAATAAAAAAGTCTTTTCCCCAGGATAGCAGAGTTCAAAACTAGAGTCGTTGTGCTGGTGTCGTGTGATTTTGACATTGTCCACCCCAGTCCAACACTGGCATCTCCACATCACTAGAGGGTATAGTTTTAAGGTGAGAGGGAAATAAATATTAAAAGAGACCTATGGGACAACATTTTCATGCAGAGGGTGGTGTATGTATGGAACGAGCTGGCAGAGAAAGTGGTGGGGACTTGTACAATTATAACATTTAAAAGGCATCTGGATGGGTATATGAATAAGAAGGCTTTAGAGGGATATGGGCCAAATGCTGGCAAATGGGACTAGATTAATTTAGGAGATCTGGTCAGCGTGGACAAGTTGGACTGAAAAGTCTGTTTCTGTGCTGTACAACACTATGACGCTATAATAACCAGAATAAGACTCTATACACAAAATTTATGCAGAAGCCCTTCAACCTTTGGTGATCGGAGAGTTTCTCTCATCAATCTGGCACCGATTTGAAATTGACCCTCTCAAGATGACAGGCCAGTGGTTGGCTCAGTGGCTCAGGCAGTCTCCTCTTGTAAAATCATACAATGGCTTCCTCCTGTGCTATAATCATTAAATCCACTGTTTTCATGCCAGCTGTCTGCCAGAGCAAACCAGATACAACATTGTTCATCTGAAAGCATATGGAACACAACTGTCCACAAATATATAGGCTATTCTAGCCCATTCTTGGGGTTTAAAGCTTCAAAAAGTGTTTTGGCCGTCCAAATTTTCTAGTTTACTATCAACACTTTAATGGGCTTTGCTTTTCATTCCTACAAATCAAGATTACAAATTCCACCCACTCTCCCCACCCAAAAACAAATGAAACTGGTTGAATAATCAATGTGCTTACTCATACAGTGAGTTCCGTCATTTGGAATGAATGACTCCATTTTGTTGGATGGTCTGTATCCTTCATTGCACGTACAGTAATAACTGCCATACGTATTATAACAAGTCGTATAGTTCCCACAGATCTTCAAAGACCCCATTTGGCATTCATTTTTATCTAAAAAGAACATATTAAGTTAAATTTAATCTGTCATTCCATAATCGAAAAACATACATAATAAGATCAACATATAAAGCGAACCAAACAATCAATTTTCTATTCTTCCATTTTTCTGACAAGCTCAGATAAGAATATAAGAACTCCTGAGTAGATAACATGTTCATATAAAATCTCCAACGGTAAGCTGGAGAAAATAAAACCTGAGATAATACTGTCATGTGACAGCAGATTAGACTCTGGGAATTCTGCGCCAAGCAACTCACCTCCTGACTCTGCAAAGGCTGTCCAACATCGACATGGATCAGTTGGGAGTGTAATGGAATAATCTCCCTTGCCTGGATGTGTGCAGTTCCAACAACACTCGAAACACTCAATACTATCCAAGGCAAAGAAGCCTGCTCAATTGGCAACCCATCTTCAACATTCAGTCTATCCACAACTAGGGCACAGTGGCAGCAGTATGCATCATCTGCAAGATGCACTCGAACAAGACAAGGTCAAAAATCAGGCATAGTGAGTGAGAGGGTACAAGACACAGAATTTATAAATTCTGTGTCTTGTACCCTGTCTCACACTACACCTGAGCAAGGGGCTAAACTCCAAGAGCTTGCGTTTTCAAATAATCCTGTTGGACTATAACCTGGTGTCGTGTGATTTTGACATTGTCCACCCCAATCCAACACCGGCATCTCCACGTCACAGGACAAGAATAACAAATACCACCACCTGCAAGTTTCCCGTCCAACCTACATAGCGCCCTGACCTGGAAATATATTGCTGTTCTGGAACTCCCTCCCTAACAGCACCCCTGACACCATACAGATTCTGTGGTTCAAGAAGGTTGCTCATCATCATCTCAAGGTGGGCAATAACTGATCACTCAGCCAGCAACACCCATACATAAGAACATAAGAATTAGGAGCAGGAGTAGGCCATCTGGCCCCTCAAGCCTGCCCCGCCATTTAAAAAGATCATGGCTGATCTTTTTGAGACTCAGCTCCACTTACCCGCCCACTCACCATAACCCTTAATTCCTTTACTGTTCAAAAATTTATCCAGCCTTGCCTTAAAAACACAACACAAATGAATTTTAAAACCCTCACAGCAATGCAGAGTTCAATCCGCAGTGCCCTGATCAGAATGCCTCTGCCTGGTGCTAGCCCCAAGAAGCAAACATTCATGTCCAGTAAAGAAATCATATTCCTAAATTTCAAGAAACAGAGTCTAACCAATGTGGACATTTTGAAAATGACTTGGAAGAAGTGGACATTATTTTCCATCAAAATGGTTGTCAAATTGTCAGTTAAGAATCTGCATCCCTCTCCCGCCTCCCCTGACCACCACCACCTTCTTGTGTAAGCAAAGGATTACCTCATGTCTCAAAATGCTTTTGGAAAATTCTTAAAATACACATGGCTGTGGGTGGTGTGCTTTCCCTTGATTAGACTTATTGGAGGCAAAACCACTTGTGGAATGTCCGGAGACAAAAATGCTTCAGATGCTGGAATCCAAGGGAGACAAACAGGAGGCTGGAAGAACACAGCAAACCAGGCAGCATCTGGAGAAAAGGAGCAGTCAACATTTTGGGTATTACCCTTCTTCAGGTCTGGATATAGCAGTAGGGGAGAGCTGCAGATAAAAAGAGGGGTGCAGAGGTGGAAGCATAACAGTGGTGATGGGTGGACACTGGTGGTAGGTATGACCTTGGTTGGTCACTGGAATTTCCAGTCCCATTGTCAGTGTATTTACCAAAACACAAAATCAGTAGTCTGCACCTGTCCCCTCTACTCACCACACCCCCACCCCCACTCAGAGGCAGTGCCTGGTCCTTGATCTCTAACAAAGAGATAAGAAATCAGTTTATCACAAACTGATGTGATCAGCCACCTTCATCCCCTGATTACGTATTGGTTTCTAACTTGGATTCATTTGTTGGGCAATATAACTATTGGTCATATGGTCACATGATAGAAAAACTGACTTCAGGTAATGAATCCCGATGCTCCAAGAAGCGGTGGAAGATAAGCCAGTCTTACACAAGAGGGTCCATTGCTCCATAATAACTAATCAACCCAGGCACAGTCAGACGGAATTAGTTTCTTTCACCTGCAAAGATTTGTCTCCATCTTGACCTATAAATATATGAATAAGTGTGGTTGTTGCATTTCCATTCCAGATATTGATTGAATAAATGTTAATCTTTACTTCTGACTTAAATGATCTGGAGACCCTGTCTCGTGTCTATTAACAAAAGTCACAACACCCAAAGGGGAACTGTAGAAACATTCCATCAAAAACAAATATACATCAAATTGTGAACAACTAAGATGTGAGGGAACAGGCGAAACCTTCTCCACGTTTGTAGATGGCACTAAGCTGAGTGCGAGGGTGAACTGTGAGGAGGAAGCAGGGATACTTGTTGAGTGAGTGAGCAAATGCATGGCAGAATATGTATAATGTGGAAAAAATATAAGGTTGTCCAGTTTGGTAACAAAAACAAGGCGGCAAATTATTATCTGAGTGGCGATTGAATGGGAAAGGGTGAAGTGCAACAAGATCTGGGTGTCCTTGTGCACCAATCGCTGAAAGTAACCATGCAAGTACAGCAGACAGTGAAGACAGCAAATGGTACATTGGCCTTCATACCGAAAGTATTCAAGTACAGGAACAGGGATGTCTTGCTGCAGTTGCACAGAGCCTGGATGAGACCTCACCTGGAGTATTATGGGCAGTTTTGATCTCCTTATCGGAGGAAGGATGTTCTGCCTATGAATGGGTGCAAAATAAGTTTAGCAAACTGATTCCTGGTGTGACAGGATTAATGTATGTAGAGAGACTAGATCACTTAGGGCTATATTCGCTGGAGTTTAGAACAACAAGTGGGAGTGGGGTTGAAGTTTCACAGAAAACCATAAAATTCTAAGAGGATTAGGAATACATAAACCCGGTAACAATGTTTCTGATGACCTGGGAGTCCAGAACCAGGGGTCACAGTCTAAGGATACCGGGTAGATCATTTAGGACTAAGGTAAGGAGAAAAGTCTTCACCCAGAGAATGACAAGCCTGTGGAATTCTCTGCCACAGAAAGCGGTCGAGATCAAAACATTGACTGGCTTCAAAAAAGGAGATAGATATAGTTGTTATGGCTAAAGAGATCAAACAGTCTGTGGAGAAAGTGGGAACAGGATACTGAGTTGGATGGTTAGCCATGATCAATGAAGCAGCAGGCTTGAAGGGCCAAATGGCCTATTCCTGTTCCCATTTTCAAAATTTCTATGTTTGTGTTACCCTGACACCACCTCTCCCTATCCATAACAGCAACATTCACATGAAAATGGTGGACAAACCAAGAATTTTGTCTGATCCTCCCAATCAACCATTGGAAGTTTAGATGTTACAAAATCATTACCACTAATGGTTAAGTGCTGCCACCAATGCTCCTTTATAGATATTGTGACAACATAGGGAAAGACAGGAATATCAAATCAACATTCCTATCTCAACACTGTAAAGTTAAAACCTTCAAAGACCCTCAAAATAAAGGTTCCTAACCAGAATAACCAATCCCAGGGTCTGTGAATAATCAATTCTAGAATTTGAAGTTTAATCAAAAGACTTGGCAATTTATTAATGATACAGTAACTTTAACAGAGCAAAATTCAACAAAGTAATCTATTTGATGACTACGATGTCAACCTCACAGCCTTTGTTTTCAGCCCCATTCATACAAAAGACAGACAAACATAGTTAAGGGATAAGTAAAAGCAAATACCAAACTGGCCATGTTATTTAAGCAGGTTTCACAATGCATTGTTCTACCTGCATATGTGATTGTTTCTTGGTCGATTCATGAAGATGTCAATCAGGGTCACGTTTCAGTTCACTTTGAGGAAGTCAGTGATACTTAGAAGTTAGTTACCATTCTCTGAACTTCCAATAGCTGATAATGGGATGGTAGGCATGAAGCTTTCAAACCTTCATGCTGTAACATCAATAACCAAACTCCTCCCAGAGTCCAAAAACCAGTTCAAACTCTGGCCCCACCCTCAGTCTGACCATCATCTTCCCCTCCAAATTTGATGGCACTAATTTCCCAGCACTGACCTCGATAATGGCCAAACTTCTGCTATCTGATTAAACATACTGCTCCCCCGGTACCGAAGAGTCTATAGAATCCTCTTGATCAAGAATCAACGGGCAATTAACTTTCAGGCCTAGTCTCACAAACAAACACCAGCTTGTTTGTTCCTTTTTTTTTGTTTTTAAACACAATCTTCAGCTCACAGTTGTCAGTTCACATCTCCAAACCAAAATTGATAACAGAATAAAACAAAAATAATGAAAAATCAGTGAGGGTTCCAACAATATTTTAATCATCCTGTTCAGACATGTTATGCCCCACACTCCGGAGCAGATGGGACTTGAATCCAGGTCCCTTGGCCCAGAGGTAGAGACACTACCAACTTTCTAAATGAGCCCTAAAAGAAGAGTTAATGTTACAGGTAGACCATCAGTTCATTTTCTACCATCCAGAGCTGCAACCTGACCAAACCAATACTGGATCCAAAGTCCTGTCTGGGGAGAGGATGGAGATGAATCATTGGTGAGTCTTAACAAGAGGAGGCATTTGTCTGGAAGAGAAATATAGTCTATCGCATGATAACTATACACACAATGTATTCTCTACTTATAATTAAACATTATGATGAAGACGATCAAGAGCCAAGGATCATTCACCTTTGAGACCTCAAGCTAGGCTCCAGATTCTCCACTCAAGATTGTATGACATCAGACTAGGTGAAACTTATTGCATTTGCCAATGTTAATCTTTTCAGAACTGTTACCAGATTTAACAAAGACAAGTGGAAATTCCTGATTCAGGTGGAGATGGGGTTCTTAATCTTGAATCCATTTGGAGGATCACTTAGGGAATTCCCAGTGAAGAAAATACAGGAGAAAACATGGCAGCATGTTTCATTTTGGATTGATCCAGAAACCAGCCTGTAAAGACACAGTGGACTTACCGGCCTCCACTTATGCAGCAAAGATATTGCCATTTCAAATAACTTACAGAAGAAACAATAAAAAATACTGACAAACAAACATGAAATCTGTCTTATTTTTCTCCCTTCCTCAAAAAATTGAAGTAGAACCATCACATCTGAATTTATGGCATAATTCAAAATGCAAAGCTATTTCCAAGGACACGCACAAAGGATTTGCAATCTATAACACTTGCCAACAAAAAATTGCCCAAAACCCTTCACAAAAATGAAGCACTTTTTGAAGTATAGTTACTGCTGTAATGTAGGAAACAACAGCAGGATCCCATGCAGCAATGTGATAAAACAAAATCCATCTGTTTTCACTTGAACAAGGGATAAATTATGTGCAGGAAGTTCATGCTAACTCCTCGACTCTTCTTCAAAATGGTGCCATGGGATCGTTTACACCCCAGGGGATAGATGTGATCTTGATTTTTAACCCCGCATCTCTGACAATGTAGCAACAGTTTTGTAAAGCACAATCAGCCTAGATATTATTTTGTTATACATATTATACTGCCATAACTCTGAGGGGGGCTTGAACTCTGCCTCAGAGCACTACCCAATAAACCAAAGTGGACATTCAAGACAATGTAATGTTAGTGAGATCATGGGATAGGGCTTCAGTGCTGTTGTTAGCTTCAGTATTCATTATCCAATCTTGATCTTAATGGACTAATATCTGTCCATTAGACATGGGATGTGGTGACACCAAATTTCTACTATAGGAGCCATCTTTCACTTTTGAGTGTTAACTGCCCTCTGGGATGGGCAATTAGTGCTAGCCTAGCCTGCAACACCCTCATCCCATGAACGAATAAAGGAAATCTAGGCAATTTAAGCACTTATGGCAGATATGCAGTAACTTGTCCACAGATAAACAAACATTTATCATGTAAAGATTGCTAAACTGAGTGATGATCACTGAATATTGTCACTAATCTATCGCAACCTTGGCCACTACTAGACCGTAATTTTTGACTAAAGATTTAACAGAGCGTTTATAGCTTCAAGCTTCTGTCAAGCACCAACCTTAAAGTAGATTCTTTACCAAATGTCTTACCTGTGCAGAAACTCCTTCCATTTCCATAAAATCCATAGTTACAGGTGCAGGTTTTCAGTCCATCCTTTGTTGTGCATGAAGCATTAATGTGACAGGTGGAACAAACATCCAGATTCGGGTTTGGTACTGTAGCTGTTGCACAGAAAGATAAAACAGCCACTCAACACTGAACCGAACTGGACTGGACACCTCACCCTGACCTCGACCCCATTTGGTCCTTTTAACTTCTCACCACCTCCTGACCTCTTATGAGTCTGCTTCCATTATTACTTTTTTTTTTGAGGACTTGTGTTTAAAGATATTATGAGAACGAGTTCGTTTGAAAGACTACGATGCCGGAAATTAAAACATTATAGGAAGGACACTTGGATTTTTTTGTTAGGAACACTTACTGGAAGAGAGATAATGAAACAAGTCAACAGCAGGAACTTAACAGACTATGGAATTGGACGGACTTAGTCATAGAGTCATAGTCATGCAGCACAGAAACAGCCCCAACCTGTTCATGCCGACCTTTTATTTTGCATAAACTTGTTTACAGGGAAGTCAAATGTCTAAGTTTACAACTGTCAGGAGTTTTGCATTCTTGGATATGTTTTTGAAAAGACATTGGGGTATAGCTTGCTCAGAAAGAAGCTGCCAAACATGTTCTTTCACATCATTTTGAGAAAACTCTTGAGAGTCCAGTGTGTGACTTGTGAAGATGATGCAGCTACTCTCCTGAGAAGTCTCTGGAAGAGTTCCTTTTGACATCTCCTGAACAAAAGGCTTCCAAAAAGATCCTAATAACAACTACATGTGTTTGTTGACACTCATCTCCATGTACCATGACATCAGACCAAAAGCCATCTGGAATATTACATGTCTTTTCCTTAACAATTACTTTAACCAAAATATATATTTTAAAGTTGATCGCTGCAAAGGCTAATTCTTTAATTTTCTTTAACTGGTGTATATGTGTATGTATGATAGCTGATTTAGAAAGGTTAAAATTTATATTTTCATATAATAAACTCCGTAAAAATAACTTTTACCCCTTTGTAGAATAAGTTGCCTTTATAATAAATCAGTTACTTAAAGTAACTTAGTTGATGGACATTTCGAGAATTCTGAAACTAATATAGAAAAAGTATATAATTGGTCATGTTGCTGACTGGGTAAAATGCTAATGTGTTACCGCAGTGAAATGCAGTGAAGTAATGGAACTATAGAGAGACATTGCACTCAGTCATAACTCTCTCCCACAGCCTGTTCACCATCGACAAGGCACAAGTCAAGAGTGTGATGGAATCTCAACACCATCCAGTACAAGTCAGCCCACTTGATCAGCACCCCATCTAACACCTTCAACATCTCCTCCCTCCACCACTGACACAGAGTAGCAGCTGTGTGTGCCATCCATAAGATGTTTTACGGCAATTCACCAAGATTCCTTTGACAGTACCTTCCAAACCTGTGACATTTGCCATCTAGAAGGACAAGGATAGCAGATGCATGGGAGCATCCTCACCTGCAAGTTCCCCTCCAAGCCACAGATCATGGAACGATATCACTATTTCTTCACTGTCACTGAGTCAAAATCCTGCAACTCTATCTCTAAGAGCACTCTGTTGGGTGTAACTACACCAAACGAACTGCTCATCACTACTCTCTCAAGCACAATTAGGAACAGGCAGTAAGTGTCTAGCCAGTGAGACCTGCAATCTGTGAATGAGTAACGTTAAGGATATATGAAGGTAATACCCCTAGCTGCTCTACAATTCTGCTTCACCAAAATACCCCCTTTTGTCCATGAGGCCAATTTTCAATTTTGGATGACATGCATAAGCCCAGCCTCACATTCCATTTGACAACAGCAAAGAGCTGACGTATTCCACTTGTCTGCTTAAAATCCTCTTTCAGGACTGCTGGTTAGTCAGTGCACACCTTGTTCCAATATAGGCAGAGCTTGTGAGCTATCACAGGAGCAAACCAGGTCATCCATCTTCCAACCAAAGAGAGCTGGATATGGAGCAATAACATGGTGGAAACCTGGTCCCTGTAAGCGTGAGACTTTACACATTACATGAATGCAGTCAGGTGAAAAGAATGTAAACCAAGAAATATTGTGGGCACAGACTGAACTGACTCTTCTGCTCAGCACCTACAAAACATGCTAGCTCTACCACAGTAAACTAGATAAATATCCTCAAGCCTGATGTTCAAACACACTTCACCTGAACACATCTGGATTGGATTCTCTGTCCAATTAGGATTTCAAGGTGTGCTGCCTGGTTAAAGAAGGCTTTATAAGGAGGAAGGGGCTGGGGTGAGGAAATGGAGGACTTTCGGGAGGTAACTCCAGACAGTATGACATTGTCATGGAAGGCAGGTTTATACAATGGCACATTATACAAGTAGAGTGTAGAAGACAAAAGGGGTGGAGGAGCAGGGAAGAGATGAGGAAGGATTGCAATGGCCTAGTGGCATTATCACTAGACTACCAATCCAAAGGCCCAGATAAGATTCTAGGGACCCAGGTTCAAATCCCTTCCATGGAAGATGGTGGAATTTGAATTCAATAAAAATCTGGAATTAGGAGTCTAATAAAGACCATGAATCCAGTGCTGTTTGGTTCATGTATGTCCTTTAGGGAAGGAAACAACTGCCATCCTTACCTGGCCTACATGTGACTCTAGACCTACAGTAATGTGGTTGACTTTTAACTGCCCCCTGGGCAATTAGAGAGGGGCAACAAACGCTGGCCTAGCCAGCAATGCTCTCACCTCATGAATGAACAAAAAGAGACAGCCATAGGGGGCAGGGACACTAGCAAGACGGTCAGGGACAGTAATTAGTGGGACAGGGTAAGTACTGAATGGGGTATCGGAGGTAGCAGGGGCAAGGAAAGTACTGTTTGGGGGAGTGGAGATAGAGGGGGCAGGAAGAATAGTGTGAGTGCGTGAGGTCTTGTGAAAAGGTAAGAAGGCAGAAAGGAATCAAAGACAGCAAGAGGGGTTGGGAGGGTAGACAGAAAGAGGATATGGACAATAGTGAGAGGAGGCAAAGAGGCAATTGAGTTGGGAGGTAGAGAGATTTAGAAAGGGAGAATGGCAAAGGATTCAAGGAGAGAGAAAGAGTTGGGAGGATAGAAAGAGCAGCAGAGATATACAGACAGAGATATTGGTCCTCTAGACAGTGAGAATGGAGAGGTAGTAATTGATAATAAAGGAAATGATGGATGAAATGAACAAATATTTTGCTTCTGCCTTCAGCACTGAGGCGGCAAAAATGTTAGAGTTAAATTTAAGTTTTACAGTCACGTGTAATCAAGTACAGGATACAGGAGTACGGTGAAAAGTGTACAATGTCGCTATTCATGGCACCATCTTAGATGCAAGGTACCTAGGAACAAAATCTTAAGTAAAAGAAAAAAAATAAAGAAACAAGTTAAAGTTCAACATTACAGTTCTGTCAGTATAAAGTAGTAAATAAGAAAAAAAGTGTTAAAAGTTCCAAATTACAGTCCTTCTTTAGCTACGGGCCTGCAGTCGCTCCATGCTGGGCCCTCTCCACAAGGGCTCGATCTCTCCCCTGTACCACCACACTACCATCTCGCCATCCTCTATCTCCCACGCTGGGCTCAGGAGCCCAGTCAGAATTGTAAATCAGGAGGTAGAAAGGAGAGAGGAACTCAAAAAACTTACAATCATGAGGGAAATTGTACTGAGCAAACTGATGGAGCTGCAGGCTGACATGAGTCCAGGTGGATTTCATCCTCGGGTCTACTAGAGATTTCTCTAGGGAGGTGGTAGATCCATTGGTGTTAATTTATCAAAATTCCCTACAGCCAGATAAGATCCCATCTGATTGGAAAGTAGCAAATGTCATCCCTCTATTTGAGAAGGGAGGGAGGCACAAAACAGGAAATTTATAGGGCAACTAGTTTGTCTGTCAACTGGCATGGAGTAGATGTTGAAATCAAATCAGTTGAGATTATAGCTGTACAAGATAATGGGAAGAGTCAACATGGCTTTGTGAAAGAAAACCTTGTGATTCAAGTTCTCTGGAGGAGTAACATACGCTGTAGATAAAGGGGAACCTTTAGATAAACTATACTTCCATTTCCAGAGTGTATTTGATAAGGTGCCACATAAAAGGTTATTGAGTAAAATAAAAGCTGGTGGTGGAGAGGGTAACACATTAGTGTGTGCAGAAGATGGGCTGGCTGGCAGAAAACAGAGTATGCATCAATGGGTCTTTGCTTGGTGGGTGTCCATGCCTGGACCTCACCTTTTTACAAGTGACATCAATGACTTGGATGACTTAGGGGGCAAAGACATTGTAACTAAATTCACAGATAACACCAAGATAGGTGAGAAAGTATGTTATGAAGAAGACATAAAGAAACTGAAGACAGATACAGATTCAGCGAGTCGGCAAAAATCTGGCAGATGGCGTTTAATATGGGACCATGTGAAGTTGTTCTCTATGGCAGGAAAATAAAGAATATTAAACAGAGAATGACTGCAGAATTCTGAATGCAGAGGGATTTAGGTGTTCTGGTGCTCTAATCATAGAGGTTAGTATCTAGATGTTCAAGAAGGTGAATGGGATAACTTTATTATGAGAAAAATTAAATGCCAAAGTAAAGATGCTATGCTTCTGTGATGTAGGGCAATGTAGAGACAACATCTCCTACACCGTGCAAGTTTAACCATGAACTGATTGAATGGCAGAGCAGACTTGGGGGGTTGAATAGTCTACTTCTGCTCCTATTTCATACGTTTGTATCTAACGTCTACTTAATTTAATCTTTGCTATTCATCTCAGCTGGTGATGACTTACATAATAGAAGCTTCTCCTAAATTTCTGACTGGTAATTATAGTGACTTCCTTGATTTAGTAATTTCCAGATTTGATCTTCTGCGACAAGAGGAAACTAATTGGAAATGTTCTCTATATCTGCCCTTTTCAATCCATTCATAACTTTAAAGAGTTCCATCACCCACCAAACTGGTCTTGAACGACCAAGTCATAAATTAATATTGGTTCTTTTAAACTAAAACTGCCTGTCTTATAAACCCACGTGAAAAATTTAATCCATTTTCTGTAAACTTAATTTCAAGGTTTGACCTTTTTTCACTCTGCCTCAAGATTATAGCACATTTCTGAAATTTAAGTTTACTTGAAGGTTTTAACTGATCAAATATAAGCTCTTCTGCTTCATCAGAACTCACGTGGTATCAGCACAAACAGTTATTTCAGAGTTTGGACTCATGGTGTTATGTTGAAGACAATTTTGAGATAATCAGCCCACAATTACCACGATGGTAACTATCTCCAAGCGACAGCAAAGACAAACTGGGGCTCCTAGAGGTATAAAGGCTCACAAAACCCATTACTCGTTATTAAAACCAAAATAATTCATAGTCATTAATCATTAAAAGCAAATATCTCAACATTACATTTTCAAAATGACACCTGTAGAGCTCCTGCATTCAAATATGCAACTTTCCCTTTATTTACATGACTTTTATGCTTTGAGATATGTATATTGTTGTAGAATTACTTAGGCAAACTTAATCTCCTACCACACAATAAAAAAAAAAATACCCTTGCGCATTGGTCAATAATTCTTTGGCAGGAAGGTACAAATAAATTCCAATTAAAATTAATAGAAGTAGCACTCACCATGCAGGCAGAGGAAGCCAGTGTACAAGACCCCTGTGTACACACTTAGGACACAGGTAATGCGGCTCCAACCCAGGGTTAGTCCCATCCACATGACCAGCTCAAACACTAAGTTTAACCAGGAGGGGTTTTGCTTCTCCTTATATCCCAAGCAGGATCTGTTCTTGTCAGTGCTTCCTGCCCCCACAGCAATCTGGTTATGTCTGATAACTATGGCCTTAGTAGATTAGAAAGTCGTTTCTTAGTATGTTTAATTTTTATATAGATGTCTATTTCTACCTTGACAGAAATAACTTATCGGGTGTCACGGGCGAAGTTATTTTTACTAACTTTTGGGTATTTTTTGCAAAGTCATTTCTATTTCACTGTTATTCCTGTTATTATATTTAGCCAATGTTGCATTGGAATGAGAGATTCTAACCAATGCCTACTTATACAATATCAATTAATTTTAACTTATTGGAGCATTCATTTACTCAAATGTCATCATATTATTTTATTTATATTCTATTCAGAGAATTGCTAGCATAGTAATCTTGGGCTTCACAAATAGAGGTAGAGTACAACAGCTGGGAGTTTATGCTAAACATTTATAAAATTCGGGTCACTCAAGCATATGAGATCTTGAGAGGATGCAGCAGATTTCCCAGAATGATTTGAAGTTTAGCTACAAGGTTGCTTTCTTTGAAGTAAAAGGAGATTGTGAGGAGAATTGACGGAGGAGCACAAGGTTATGACAGATTTAGGTAGAGTAGATCAAGCAAAGCTGATCCAAACAGTTGATAATCCAAGGACAGGGAACAGTTTTGAGCACACTTGCCTAGAGGAGAGCAGTTTCAACAACATTCAAGAAGCTTGACACCATCCAGGACAAAGCAGCCTGCTTGTTTGGCACTACATCCACAAGCATCCACTCCCTCTACCACCGACGCTCAGTAGCAGCAGTGTGTACTCTCTACAAGATGCACTGCAGAAATTCACCAAAGATCCTAGACAGTGCCTTCCAAACCCATGGCCACTTGCATCTAGAAGGACAAGGACAGCAGTTACATGGGAACATCACGACCTTCAAGTTCCCCACCAAGCCACTCACCATCCTGACTTGGAAATATATCGTTGTTTCTTCACTGTAGCTGGATCAAAATCATCATAAATTCCTGAGTGTGGAAGCAGGCTATTCGGCCCATTGAGTCCACATTGATTCCAACATTGGCAGAGGGTCAGAATGTCTGACAGTGGATTCTGCAGGATGCATCAGCTTTCACAGCAGATTGCTGCTAGAACGAGACCTCTTTCCCAGTGAACCTTGATGCCATGTATTGCTAGTGCTGCTGGAGAGCTGATTCCCCCCACTCTTCGTCTCTGCCTCTTGTCAAGTTCTTGTATTTTATCTTCAAGGAGCAAGTTAAATGAAAGAGAAAGAGGTGTCAGGAGAGAAAGATGACAGTTGTGGAGAGTAACTGGGTGTTACGGGTGTTGGAAGGCAATATGAGTGAGTGCGAATGTTGGATGTCCACATGGCAATTTGTGGCAAGGAGATGAATAAGTTGAGTTACAAGGTGTGTTACCCTCAAGAGTGCTTTGCAGGGAAATGCTGGGGATGTCAGAATCCATGGCTTACCAACAAAGTGTCCATCCTATGTTTCCAATTCGGAGAGATCATACTCCTGCTGCCGACTCCGTTGGTTGACTCTACCTATGCCTACATGATTGGAGAGATTCACCTCTTTCTCCTGTCACTGGGAGAATTCACCTCTCTGCAGGCTCTCAGCAGGACATCCAGGAAAGAAGAGATGCAGGTGACAGGCCTCCCCTCCATTCCAGTGACTTCTGGGGCCTCAGAAAATCCTTGGAACCCATGTCGAGGCTCCTTTCACTGTGAATCTTCCTCAGACCAAATGAACATGTGATGCCATCTGGACAGAAGTGGGAAAGGATCTCGGAATGAGTCTCAGCAAAGCCTACTCCATCATCACTTAGCAACCCCCTGCCACATCAGTCGCTATGCCATTCTGGCAGAAGTCCTGAAAATTTAACTTCAAAGACCTTTCTGCACTCCATGTTTAGTTTGTTAGAAGCATCTGCACCAGGTAAAGAACTGAACATTTATCAGCTCACGTATGTCACATTTAAGCAAGTAACATATCCCAGTTGCTTCACAGCAATGTTTAAAAACAAAATATTGCACCACATTCCTTAGAGATGTTGAATCAAAAGCTTAGACAAAAGACTCGGTTCTAAGGTATGTCTCAACAGAAGACAGAGAGGTAGAGGGACAAAGAAATTTAGGAGAGGAATTCCTGAGCTTAAAGATCCAGGCAGGTGGAATCACAGTGACAAATGGTGGGCTAAAGGAAACTGGAGATGTACAGGTGGTCAGAAATGGTGGAACATCAATATCTCAGAAGTTAGAGGTAGAGGAGATTACAGCAGTGATGGTGAATGGAGTGGGAGGTGTTACTCAAACAATTTGAGACCTGGATGAATTTTATATAATTCGAGACATTGTTGAATGGGGAACCAATGTAAGTGCAGGAGTTAATTTTGCATTTTAAAAACTGCATCATCTTAAAACACAGATGGATCTAGAACACCTAAAATTTCATATCCATCAAAAAGGTTTCCGTTTATGGTTGCAAAAATTACAAGAGGTTGACAGTATCTTGCGCACTATCGTTTAAAAATTAGTTGCTTGACATACAGGGTTATCATTGGAAGTATTACTTGATTAACTTCAAGCGACGCACTCACATTTGACAGCTGATGCACGTTACGTGGATAATTTATTTAAAATGGTACACAGTTGGCAGGAATATCAAAATAAACAAAAATTGTTGGAAATATTTGATGGATCTAGCAACATCTTTAGAGAGGGAGCAACTAATGTTTCAGATCTATGATCTTTGATTAGAACTGATGAAAGTGAGATGTATTTTCAGCGAGTGAAAGGGATGGGGGAGTGGGGAGGGTGAGAAGAGGAACAAAATGGAAGTTATGAGAGACAGTGAAGGTCAGGAGATTAAATGACAAAATATATTGTGGTGCAAGGTCAAAGGAAGGGGAAATAGGACAAGTAAAGAAATAAAATTTCTGCAATGGCAGGATTGATGTACGAAGAGAGACTGGATTCATTAGGATAACACTCATTGGAGTTTAGAAGAATGAGGGGGATCTCATAGACACCTATAAAATGCTAACAGGACTTTCCAGGGTAAATGCAGGAAGCATGTTCCCACTGACCGGTGAGTCCAGGATCAGGATTCACAATTTAGGGATACAGGTTAGGCCATACTGGGTAGTGCCTGCTGACACTAACTGTAGGGCAATTGCACATGAATGCTTACTTGAAAACATAAATGCCTATGGTTCCAGACTCTCTCTGTCATTGCATGCGCAAAGTCCCATTCTCAAGCCCCTGACCCTTTCGCCCTACACACGAATCTCACTGCCACCCCCCCACTACCAAACACCTCATTCTCACCACTCTCCACCCCCCATAGATTCACAGCCACATCTGTAAATGAGCATGTGCCTCCGTGGGAATAGTGCACACACTTCATGATGTCAGCAAGCACAACCGTAGGACTGAGACAAGGAGAAACCTCTTCACCCAGAGAGTGGTGACCCTGTGAAGTGGAGGTCAAAACATTGAATGCTTTCAAGATGGGTCCCCCTTGTCCTCACTGTAATCCCTTACTAGCCACCTCACCCCCAACTATGCCCTAGCCTCCATATTTTCATTATCCTCTGCTATTTCTGCCACTCTTTGCCGAAGGGCTGTTCCAAGACCCATCTTGAAAGCATTCAATGTTTTGACTTCCACTGCTTTCTGTGACATAGTTCTCAGGGCTCAAGGGATCAAAGGCAAAAGCTGGAAGAGGGTAATGAGTTAGACGAGCAGCCACGATCGTATTCGATGGCCGAGCTGGCTTGAAGGTCAAAATGGCCTAATCTTGCTCCTATTTTGTATATTTCTGAAAGATCCGTCTAGAGGAGGTATGAATGGCAAAATACAGACCAAGTGTTATTCAATAGCAACCGTTTCAGTGAGAAACAAGAAATAATACAACAAAGCAAAGAAGGAAAAAATGGTGCAAAATAAGGGCTAACATCTGATTTAAAATTTTTAGAAGTCAATGCTGAGTCCAGAACACTGTAGAGTGATGAGTCAAAAGATAAAGTGCTGTTCACCGAATTTGTATTGAACTCCACTGGAATACTACAGCAAGCCAAGGATAGAATTAGAGTGGTCGGCGACTGGAAGCTCAGGGTTGTGCTTGCGGACTGAATGGAGATGTTTTACTAAATGGTCACCCAGACAACGTTTGGTGTCTCCAGTAGACATGCAATATGTGAAATTGAAAGAAGTACAAGCAAATCAGAGTGTTTCAGGCCTTGCATAGTGACAAGGCAGTAAGTGTTGCACTCCTACATTTGCATGCAGAAGTGTTTTAGAACAGGAAGGCTGACTGAGAAGGGGACTTGGGTGTTGCAGAAGGAACAGCCCTTCGGCAAAGAGTGGCAGAAATAGCAGAGGATAATGAAAATATGGAGGCTAGGGCACAGTTGGGGGTGAGGTGGCTACTAAGGGATGACAGTGAGGACAAGGGGGACCCTATCACATGTCTGGTTGGGAGGGAAGGGGGGAAAGCAGAGGTGCTTGAATAAGAAGGATAATGAATGGATAATGCAAAGTCTAATTTCCACTTAACAGTCAGTTTTTTTGAGAACAGTCCTCACAAGTACTTTGAAAGCTGATAAGAGAATCAGGATGACACTTTTATAATCCCTCCCAGTTTTTGTAACAGAGGCATGCTGTGAATGAGAGATTAGAGATTTAGCCTATCAAAGGGCATGCCTAGCTATCAACTTCTAAACTTAGACAGTGTCATAATTGACTTGCAGATATTAATTCAGGCTTGTGCATTAGGTTAAACATATTTTAGATCTCTACTTGTTTATCAACCTGTACTGATTTTGTGAAGTTGCAGATGCCCTGACTGGAACAAAACTCACTCTTGCAGTAACTACAAGGCCACTTTGTGCTCAGGCTGGGGAGTGGTGGGGGAGCAACTGGTGCTCCCACTTCATCTTGTTCTCCAATAACTCTGGACAGATGAAGGACAGTTTTTTGCTCAGTTGTGATTGTAGATACAGTAGAACGGCTTATCCATCCTTACATATGAACAATGAGGAGAAAATTAAAAAAT